CACTGCGCTGGCCACACATTCTCAAGGACTCCATTTACGCCAGCTGCAAAAACATGCAGCGTCAAATAAAGGACGTGGGCCTACTACTACTACTACTGCTGCTGCTGCTACTACTACTACTACTACTACTACTACTACCACTACTATTACTACTACTGCTACTGCTACTACTACTACTACTACTACTGCTGCTACTACTGCTACTACTCCTGCTGCTACTACTACTACTACTACTACTACCACCCCCACTACTACTACTACTACTACTACTACTCCTGCTGCTGCTACTACTACTACTACCAATACTACTAATACTACTAGTACTACTAGTACTACTAGTACTACTAGTACTACTAGTACTACTAGTACTACTAGTTCTACTTGTACTACTAGTACTACTAGTACTACTACTACTACTACTACTACTACTACTACTCATGTAAGAAGAATAATAATACAACGACGGGGGCTACCACGATTACTGCTACTGCTACTACTACTACTACTACTACTACTACTACTAGTATTAGTACTAGTACTAGTACTAGTGCTGCTACTACTACTACTACTACTGCTGCTACTGCTACTGCTACTGCTACCCCTACTGCTACTACTGCCACTACCACTACCACTACCACGACCACCACCACCACCACCACTACTACGGCGGACTATTACTCACATTCAGATGATGACAGCTCTTGGTTGCTAGAGGCAGCTTCTGGCACTTCGACACCTTGTGCATTTATGAATGCTGACCAACGCGAAATAACATGAGCGATGAGACATAGTCAGTATCAAGCTACAACAGGCCTAGGAACATAAGTCATCTTAGCAGCTCTTGCCGTTTTACAAATCAATAAACATGACTACTGCGCGCACATCGGCCAGACACGTCTTCTGCTATCAGGGTTTAGGGTGTAGGGCTCAACAAGTGGACATATATATATATATATATATGTATGCACATGTACAACCGTACACATATGCAGATACATGCCAAATCGAATAAAAAATATTTACATACATGTATGTGTGTGTAACCATACATACCTATGCACGTGTGCGTGCATCTATGGGAATATAATATATGTACATAAGTATGTAAAGTACGTGCCCCTTCACCCGCCTGGAGAAGCCATCTCCGCTGAGCCCAAGTCAGGCAAGCACCCCCACGGATCCAGATGTAAGGCGTTATGTGAAGAAAGGTCACAGTGTGAGAGTGTGAGATTCATTCTAGTGGCGTTCATGCCTAGAGGATGCTAAGTGAAGGCCTTACCTTCTTTAAGGTGGGAACCCATGCGCACCTAATTACACTTCTTCCTTGAACAGCGAAATGAGGCGTCGTTCACATCGACAAGGCAAACAAACAGAACTAGGCAGATCCTATATCAATATCGTAGGCTTCCAGCAGTTTTGTGTCGGTGTGAGCTCAACACGGTCTGCTAGCACGCCAGCTGGTAAGGCCTACCTTACCAGGAAATTTGACTGTGGGATGTGCGCGACAATCAAAAGGATGGCAATACAATTTGAACAGCTAGCATGCGCAGCACATGCACCAAGTAAGCACAAGAGATCATCTTCCCCACACCGGTGCAGACACTATAGAACCATCAATGCCCTCGAGTACATGCATGCATCTCGCACTTGCAAGCTGAGCTCCGTCCTGCGAGCGATCTAGGTGCCACTTGCCCATACCTGACATCCACATGCAAGAGGCCCATGAGCCAACCTAAGCTTGCTCTGAGCAACTGGGTTCGAGGCTTGGGACTTGGGACCGCAAACAAAGTCCAAGCCTCTGGCCTGACTACTCGAAATGCCTCCATCGGCCGACTGGTTCGTTCGTCGTCCTTCGCTTCCCTGTAGCTGGTCATGGGTCGACACCAATAGCTAAGTAAGACTTAGCCCCAGGATATTCAAAGACTGCATCCATACCTTTCCCATCCTTTCCCCACTCCTCTCTTCGAGGACCTGGAGCGCTTCAGCTGTGCCTTTTTAGGCCTCCCCGGGCCGTGCTTTGAAGCGCAAGGCGCTCCGGAAAAGCACAGAAAAGCTACCCCAACGCCATAAACCCTCTGAGCACCCGAAGCCCTAATAAGCCCTGCCGTAGAAGCCTTCTACTAAGCCGTAGGGCAACCCGAGAAATAGCTTTATACAGCCCCCATATAGTAACCGGGCTCCATGCGGAGCTGAACGCAAACGCCCGAGCCCGAATACCAAGCGAGTAGCAACAATAAGTGATGGCTGGCGTGATAGTAATCAGTCAGAATTAGTGATAAAAACTTGATGACGACCACGAGTACTATCGTATCACCAATCTTGGCTAGAATCGTAAAGAAATGCACGCCCAATACATGGTAACCACCTCAGACTGGGGTTGCTCCAACACTCGGTTTCCCTTGACTTGGCTTTCTGACCTATAGGGTTACCGGTCTTATACCTTCAATCGGGTCCCTTGTCGCTCATCCCAGAGAGCCTCGGGACGTGATCGCGCTACCGTCCTTCTGCAAGGTGATGACGTCTTCACTGGCAGCAGTTGGGGTTTTAGGGTTTAGGATGTAGAGTTTTCTCGTGCTTGCGGGCTTTGGAATTGCTCTCTCGGCTAGATAACGTTCCCGACTGTTGATGAGACTGGAGTGAAGACAGGCTCCAGTGTGAGATTCGCGGGTGCTGCGGCGATGGTACTGAAGCTCAAAGCCTCTGTTGACATGCAGGTCCTGAACTATTTTGGGGCTAGACCATGAGGCCCTGCAAGCAGTGTGTCGAAGATCAGGATATCGAAACTCCCAGCCTCGCCGCGAATGCGAAGAAGTTTGTAGAAGAGTCTTAAACAGCGCGGCATTGCGAAACTGGCCGAACAGAAATGTGAGGAAAGTCGGTCCCAGCCTCTCCCACAAGTTCGAATGGAACCAGGCGTACCTTGCAACGAGCATAATTTGCTTCTGGGGCCGGCCTCGCTTCGTGCTGTTGTGGTGACTTTACTCTATCCTAGTTGCTGAGGTCCCTGGCCCCCCAAAATGCTGAACCCTTGCAACTCAACTACAGTAATTAGGGAAAGATGTGCCTCCTTGGATGGGCGGTAGAGGTTACTTACTTTGCTGAAGTAATAAGCACGACTAGACTATAGGGGCTTTAAGTGTTACCAATGCCCATTCCTTAAGGTTCGGACGTATTCAACATTCCATGATGCACCGCCCCTATACTGGACTCCTTTCTAATTTCACCGGGTGGGTCCAGGCCAACTAAGTCGGGGATCCTTGGGTTCAGGTATCTGGCTGCTGCGCTTTTTTTCAGAGACCTCTGGGGATCGACGATTAGTGTAATGGGTAGTGCTGCTACAGGTACTAGAATGATTACTGATAAAAGTAATATTACTGTTACTGCTACCGCATATACTGTTATAGGTACTACGAGTACGACGACGACGACGACGACGGCTACGACGACGACAACCACCAATTTTATGATTCTCGTTGCCTATTGCTGTCAATACTACAAAAATCTTAGCATCTTTGCCGCTACTCTGGTTATAACTGCGACCATGTTGTTATCAGTATTCACCCTTATCATTATCACGCTTGCTATAGCAAGTTGTTACTCTACTTAGTCTACTTTTCAGTAGCATCTTCATTGTCTTCCTGACCGCCGACATTCCCTGAAAAACAGGCATAGTCACGAAGTTGGCAGGAAGTAACTGCACGACGTGTCGGTTTTCTAAGGCACCAGCCACTTTCCAAAAGCGTTCTCGAACGCCTTGCTTGCAGTCCTGTTATGCCTTCGGTGAGCTATGCTGGCATTTCCAGCTTTGGTCAGGCAGTTGCTGTGATGCACTTGGGCACGTGCAGGCGGGTGACTTCACACACCACACCCTCCCAGCCTCAGCAAGTCTTTCCATCCATTTCTTGCTGGAGCAACTGTAGCAGCTATGCCCAGCATACTGTAACGGTTTGATGCGCATGCCGTCAACCCTACAGTAATTTTGCACATCTCGCTAACCCTGTCGCCTGAACCGCCCCAAGATGGTGTCGTACAATCTCGGCATCAGGCTCTGGATCACCTGTCCAGGGCAAAAGGTGGCTTCGAGTTAAGTACGCCGAGGCCCTAGGCTTCAAATCCTGAAGGTATATGTAGGTTTCCAAGCAGCACCTCAAGATTCGGCTTTTTCAACCTGATCCGCGAAACGCCAGCTCCACACCCCAAATGCTCGAAACCCACAGCTTTCATATCCAGATCCTAAGCAGAACCCCGGAACACTACACCGAGCCTTGAGGGTCAGAAGCTAGATTGGGCTGCTGGGATCAGGTCTTTGGTTGGGGCTGAAATTTAGTCAATTGTTTGCGCAGAAGAGATATGTCCGGTGTAGGGTCTGTGGCTCTAGAAGCAGGAGTGCTGTGACGCAAACCTACCATCTTCTATACAATCTTCGGCTAGTCGGACTCTTCAAGCAACAGGGCTTGAGTAGGGCCTAAATACCATTTTGTGTACGGTCTTTGGCTCCAGCCGACTCCTTGAATTTCTAGGGTCTCGCAGGCCGAAATGCCCCTTTTCTAGAGGTCTTGGGGTCACAAATGTGGGAGGAGGGATTCCGCAGCATGTCTTTGTCTAGGGGCCCTTCTAGCAGTGTCATGGAGCCTTGACACCACATTCAACACGGTCCTTTCGAATACAATATTCTACATGGTCTTGGAGCTACTTGGACCCTTCAACAGTAACAGCGCATCTTGGGTCTGTTTGGGCCCTGAGTGTATGAAACCTCAATCTTTCAAATTGAACCTGCAAGCAATACGGCGTGTGACATGGCACTTAGGCTGAAATACAATCTAAACCCACGCAATAGGCTCTTTACTTTGGACCGACTGTGAACCTTGCAAAGCGTCTTAGCCTCCTTACTTGTCCAGTATCCTAGGAGATGCTAAAGAAGAAAAAATAGAGGGGCCTTCATGGGTTTTGGGGTCCACTGTACTATAAGTATAATAAGGACACCCCCAAAAGTAGTATAGGCAATTATTGAGGCCCCTATATTAGCGACTATAATACCCCAAGCAAGTTAAACTTAAAGGTCACCTACTCTACCCCTACCAGTATGGGCCTCATTGTTGAAGCTCCAAGGGGGTCGATTGCCGACCTGGGCAGCTGCGTCTTCATCAAAACGCCCACTCGGCTATGAAACAGTTGGAGCTTCCTTTCTCAATTCATGGAACTGTTTGGCTAGTTCTCTAAATGAGGGTCCCTTCTTGGGTCCCCAAATAGCACAGCGGACCCTAAAAGGGATCCTAGTGTAGAGAACTGCCCCTTTGATGCAAGTACAGGAAACTTGTTTCCGGGCTTGTTTCACACACAAATCCGCACAGCTTCGACAACCTCCGACTCACTGTGGGCCCCCGAAATCTGACAAAAGTCTGTTCGGTGGTGCACTTTTTCTTCCCGGATGCCCGCGCCTCGAATTTTATAGTTCACCGCTCGACCTGAAACGAGGGAAGTCACATCTTTCGCGCGGGATTGGGGAAGGGTGGGAAGGGTTCGGACGGTTCGGAGCTCGGCTTGGGAGGTGCGGGCGGCGGGCCGGGTGGCGACTGCGCCCGTGGGCGCGGAGGCTGCGGTGGAGCAGGGGGTTTGGGGGGCATGGTCGGTGGTGGTGGAGGGCCCGGCGTCTGAGAAGTCTGAGGGGCAACCGACTGCTCTGCTTTCTGTGGTCGCGGAGGAGGTTGAGGGGTCGAGGGCCAAGAAGGTTCAGGCTTTCTAGCGTCCTCTGCTGGTACCTCTGGCTTCACCGAGAATTCCTCCTCATCCTCCTCCGGACCTGGCAAGACGAAAGCTGAAGAACTTGCGCTCACCGTGCCCTGAACCCCGACCTGAATACTGAAGATATATTATACGTGTATATATTATATATATATATATATAGAGATATAGTCTTTATATATTCTATACTATAGGTTATATATTGTATATGATATATTATATCTCCTTCTGAACCCGACCTTGGGTTTTAGGGTTTCCGACCTTGCATGTAGTACTTCTCGTCTTCCGGATCCAACCATTCCGTCGGCTCTTCCTTCAACTTCTTCCGCATGTAATCCTAGGACTGCCCGAACACCAAACTCAGGGTGAACAGTCTAGGCTTATCGTTTTTGTCGGGATGCAAAACAGAGCAAAACTACTAGCCTTGAGGTAGCGTCCTCTCTTTCCACCGCGCCCCGCAATGATCTCCACTCGTAGTACGGGACATGCAACACCTTGTACCCCATCCTTGTGAGAAGTCGGTGCTTCAGCTTTGTGTACGCAGTGTAGCGCTTAGAATTGGCATAAAAATGCGACGGCCCATCCACTTCAATAGCAATGGGCCGGTCTTCCCCTGTAGGAACGTTGCCATCCTCGTCTGCTAGGGGACCACTCAGTCGCCTCACAAGACGCGCAAGAGTGCAAGCACAATCTCTCCTGCAGTATCCGTACGTGTACATCACGCAGGTCTGTAGACATAATATGTGTGTATGCCCCAAAGCAGAAGCATATTGGCCTTGTTCAGACATGTAGGAGATCTACATGTATGTGTGTATATGGCATCATCATCATCATCGTCATCATCATCATCATCATCATCATCATCATCCGTCCCCTCCTGATCCTCCTCCTCATCATCATAGCCTATTGTTATTGTTATGGGCGCCATGCGCATATACATACGTACACACATGACATGCAAGTATATGTAGGCATGTATACAGGCATGCGCATGAAGATGTCTGTGCGTGTGTGTCTTTCATCTCGCTGGGACGCTGCTGACCTGGCCTTATCTTAGTCCTGCAAGCAAGGGGCAGTCGAAACAAGGTAATGCAGGGGACTTAATAACTAGACTTGGGCTGTGGCAAGGGCTCATGATGTTGGCTAGATTGTGTATCAGGACTGCAAGGGTATAGCTGCTCAAGGCCCCACATCCTCAACCCCAAACCCGAAACCCAACACCCTAAACCCTCAACCCTCAACCCTACAAGAAGCTTCCAAAGTCGGCTCGGGGCCTGGTAAGATCCTTGATGATTTCGTCCTTCTCCTGCTTTTCTGCCTCTGTCAAGACCTGGCTTTGGGTTTACACTCTCATAACTCGGACAAGCCAGGCGAGGATCCATAGGTTCAAGTCGGCGTGATACAATATCTGACCAGCTGTGGGTTTAGGGTTTAGGGTGTAGCTGCACACTGAAAGGGTCTTTAGAATTATAACAAGCCTTTGGGTATATTATAGTAGGATACCAACAGGAATCACGTAAACAAGACTCCGGGGTACATTTTTAGTTTTGTTTATTATTATTACTATTGTTCTTCTGCTTATTCTTATTATCAGTATTATTTGTCATTATTATTATTATAACTATTATTAATATTGTTATTTTCATACGGTGCAGAATCTTTCGCATTGGCAGTCCCAGAAGCTGCTGTAGCCCAGGTATCTCGTGGCTTGGACCGCACAACCGGCCCCCCCACTCCCGAAAAGCCTGACATAGCCAAATGCTCCCAAGACTAAACTTTTAAACCCTTAACATATACCCCTAAACCCTTTTGCTGCAGGCTTGCAAGCAAGAACGCCGGGTAGTTAGCCACTCAGACCCCCACACCCTAAACTGTAAGCCTTATCAGATATGGTACATTCGAGACCCTGCTTTTTCTTACACCCACGATACCAAAGCAAGAGAAACCTGCTCGCGCAAAGCCCTACAGGCCCTGATCTTCTACACTCCGAAGCCTAGCCCAAAAATCTCTCAAGCCCAAATTCTGCAACACATGAGCCTACAGGCCGGACACTCCCAAGCAGACCATGATGACGAGTAGGACCAGCAGGACTCAGAAACCCCCACCCCCACCTAAAACCTAAGCCTTAGGCCCTTATCGTGTCACAAACCCCCTCGGCACCCTCCGGGGGCGCCGAGCCTCCTCCCCTCCATCGAGAAGACGCTGGCGATAGACTTTCGGAGCTTCGGACTTCCTTGATGTGGGGGCCTAAATAGTTACCAATACTGTCTTGGGGGGTTCCTTATTACAGGTACGCACAAGTATAGTATAGTGGGCCCCAATATAAAAACCCCTATATGGGGGGGCTTCTTTGGATGAGCTAAGGTTTTGGAGGGCTATAAGGGGGGTGTGAGGTTTCAAGATTGAAGGTTTTAATTTCAGCTCACGTCTTTGCTTGTTGCTGTTTTGAATTTTTTGGGCATGGACTCCGGCGCCTGAGGACTGAGGGCTTTGCGATTTTTGGGGTCTAGGACAGCTCAGGGTGTACAGAAGTCGGAGTTTGGGGAATTAGATTCAAGTGCGTCCGGTTGGTTTGAGGCCTAAGTACATTGCCGTGCACGAAATCCTTCTGCAGCTGCATTGCTTCCGTGCTTCCTGAGATCTAGCAGGCTTGTGGGATCTCTCATTCGGGTTAACATGCCCTCTCGGGATAATATAGGGGCCTCAATGATTAGAATAGGGTTTTGGGGGGTTCCTGATTACAACTATAGTTTACTATACCCGAAAACCCTAGTCTAATTATTAAGGCCCCTGTATTTGGCTGATTCAAGTAAATTGCCAACCCCAGCTATTTGGTTTGTCATGCACAGAAACCAGATATGGTATACTGCAGAACAAAACTCTATCAAAACAACAAGGGCCACAAAGCAAGGCTACTTTACATGAGAAGCAATGCTTATGTTAATGCGGACCGCAACGGAAAATATCATCACTCGCGACGTAAGCTCTCATGGGTACACACGGCAGTTAGTACAGTCAGTGAAGGTACGATCCGCACAAATTCAGTCTCAGAACTGATCCTGCCAAGACATTGAAACCCCCAACCCCTAAACCCTAAACCTCACCCTTTCCCCCAAAAAACCAACACAAATTCATGCGAACCAGGTACGGAGGTCCCGGTGCTGGTGGAGGGACTCAGGGCACAGGGATTGACTTGAAGGGTTTAGGGCGTTTAGGATTGCAGTTACGATAAGGGTTGCAGTTACTGTGATGTCAAGGTGCGACGGGTTCTTAGGGTGGGGTGGGACGGGTTTACGCAATCTGTTTTTGGACGTTCCGGCGAGGTAGCATGTGTTTTCTCAAGGTTTACGTGCATGTAAATACTGCTGTAACAAGGGGCCTCAATAGCTTTGACAATGAGACTAAGGTTTCGGGAGCATTCTATACTATACATCTATCGAGGAATCGCGGAACCCTAAGGAATAATATTGGCAAGTACTCTAGATAGACTCTAGCCTCGTATGTTATCCTCTCCTCCCTCCGCGGGCCCTTGGCTTGGGGCTCTTTGGCATGTTCTTGCTCTGAGCGACCAAGACTCCTATGCATAATATAGGGGGCGGAGCCTCAATACTTATGAAATGGCTTTAGTGGAATGTTTGTTCTAGAGTTATATAGGGTCTATATATATATATATACAGGTGGATGCGATTGCTGATTCCTGAGAATCCTTGAACTCTGAAACCCCCTTCAACCCTCCACACTAAATCCAAGGAACAATCCAAAATCCAGCTAACCTAAATGAGCGAGAGCCCAGTGACCCGGAGCAGCCGCCAGGTTCCGAAGAAGCAGGTTCTTCGCAAAGCGCAAAGGGAAGACCCGTCGCCAGCTCAGTGCCATTGCAAGATATTGCAGAGAACTCCTGTTCTACGCTTTTCTAGACGTTCCCCAACCTGTATGTCTCCAGGACCGAAGCTTTGTAGTCTTAAGCAGCTCTGTAGACTTGAGGGTCCTGAGCGGTTCGGGGCTTATGGCTTTTGTCACCGCATCCCTTCAGTGTCTGCAGAGACATCTCATCTCGCTGGCTAGTTGGACCGATATCCCTGAGCCCTGAGAGCTTTTTGAGGTCGGGAGGGGTCTCGGGTGGGAGTCTTCGTCGTTGTTTTCCTGCAAGCCAAGGCAGGGGAGCGACCATGAGGGTTCGTCGCTGTCGATGTGCACAGTCACCATCACTGCCACACACAGTCATGGCCGTTATCATGATGACCTGATGGTTATCATCGCACTCATCAGCACTGTCGCAATCGATCAGAGCCATGACCCGCATCTCACGAATTGTCACCATCACAATCATCAGCAGCATGACAGGAGATGAAGCCGAAGGATTGATCTCTGCGCTCAGCTTAACCCTGACTCCAAGACTGTCGGGACGCCAAGCTCTACCTGCAGGGAACGTCACAGGGTGATTGTGAGAGCTAGATTCAAAAGATGTCTGTAGACTGTGGAGGCCTAAGCAGAATAGATTCATGATGGTGAGGTTAAGGGTTTGGAGTCAGATTTCCAAACGACGCCTGTGGAAGACTAGGTCTAAGCATAATGATAGGCCCGCGACGCCACCGAGGACTCGCAAGTCGCCGGCTTGAACAAACTCTCTAATGGCCTGGCAGGTGCAGGCAGGGACGGCTACAGAGACTTGTGAGCACTTCCGGAATGGGGATATCGGTGAACATGTGTCATGCATCAATCGCATTGTGGACTCAACGGACAGTGTTGCCACGCTTGCCGCTCTTCTGTAAGCCCATCCCAGCAAGGATAAAACAGAAGGACCAAAAAGGTTGCCTAACTTCGGAAAGGTGACCTTGGAGGCACTGTCATGAAAGCGGTATCTCCATTGAGGGCGCACCCGAGCCACGCCACTGTTCGTGCCGAAATCATCGTAGATCAAATATTTCAAGTGCCTGCCATCGAGCGGGGTGTCGGGCGTATGGGTGACATGCAAAGTGGGGGAGGGGGGTGGTCTCAATGTGCAATCTTTTTTGGCTGTCGGACCACTATTTCGCTGCGGAGCTACGGCTCTGGCAATTGACAACACATCTGATGTCAATATAGGGCCGTAATAACTAGAATAAGGTTTTGGTGGGTACCTTACACCCGAGTAAACTGAGTCATTTAGGGGATTTTGCTACCCTGTATTTCGTGCCGTACAGTACGCCACCAAGTTGGAGGTTGAATATAAAGCCTTGAGAATTTGGGCTCCCAAGCCGCAAGCCAAGCAAATCCCCAAGTCGGACATGCGATCACGGACAACAGGTAAGTAAGGGACTTGTAAGGGACTTGTCTGCCGCGTGATGGTAGACATCTGATGAATTCTGATGAGTGGTTCGCGTTGACATCCATCGCAAGTTCAATTTTCAGACTATAGCATAGAAGCCCGACATCCTTTTGCGCAAGGTCTTGGGGCACAGTTGGGATGATGGCATGATGTCCCGAAGCTAGTCCCGCATTTTCTCCCTCCAGTCAGAAGCTGCACGAAAACGTGGCTACGTCGAGGAGGATACTTCAAACACAGAACGGCCTTTGAAGACTTGTAACATAAGCTTTGGCACTCTGAGTTTGCGTCTGAAACCGGCTTGTAGTAGGAATGACAAACTGCCGTGCACGCTAAGCCCACTCTGCGTTTGGGCTGTCGTCCGGAGACTCGGGGATATAGGAGTCCCTGGGTAGGTGATCATGTCAGTCTTGGCTAAACATGAAAGGTAACACCCCTCTGACTGTCGCACAACGGCTCTGGCTTGTGGAGACATGGTCTTTCAGTTGGTCAAACTCCGAAAACATTTCGCGATGCCCGGAGTCTACGTCTACGCTTTGAGAAACGGCCTCCAAGCCAAAGGCGTAGGCGCTTGTGATGCCGTGTAGGCGGCTTCTGCACTCGCCCGGTGCTGTGTTGTGGTGGGTGCTTCACTTCTCTTCGTTCCGTGTCTAGTCTGTACATGCTGACAGAACATCTACACAGTACACCTGTAATCCTTGAAGCACCAACTGTGCAGCTAGCCTCACGCACACAATTCCACCGGCCGGGAAGCTATGCTGTCACAAGCGTGTCAGGCTTGCGATGGCGAGGCACCATGACGATTCTTTCTTCTACGCCCACACATGAATCACAAACGGAAATCATGCTCCTCTCAACTCCCACGTCGTGGCAAGCTTCCCGGGTGATGTCAAAAGAACCGAAGTTCGACTGCCAAAGCCACGGACCACCTCACCTGGCCCCGGGAGCCTTCAAGGCTACCGGGTGCAAAGGAAAAGCGAGGCCCTCCTGGGTTCATTGAGGGCTCTTCGACTTGGGGATTCGGAATCAGGGTTTAGGGTCCCAAACCCAGAAGGGAAGCCAGTACAACACCCCTGTGCGGGAGATGTCACAGGCATGTCGGGTCATGGCAGCCAGCTTAGGGTGTCCGGCCACAGAGATATTGAGGCCCCTACACCCTTGTTACCGCCCAGAGCCTTCGCAAGGCTTGCCTTGGGCAGTGACGGCAGGAGGGTAACGCGTGATGGGTTCATGCTCAGCAAGGATCTTGCGTGCAAATCCGAGAGCTCAGCTGACACAGAGAACCTTGTAGACGCTGGAAGCCAATTCTCTCATCACACACTCTCAATAAGTTCCAACTCGCGACGTGCCCCATTTAGCTGCTCAAGCAGGGCTGAAAAAACGGATTTGTGGTCGGCTTATAATATCTTGGTGCAGGGGCGTGTTAGGCCACCGGCGAGATTTCAGGGGTCCCAGATCGTAGTTCAATCCAGTGCGCCCTGCCAAAGCAGCTTTGAAGATGCCCACGCCCTTGCGTGGGTTCTCAAAAGGTTCCTGAAACACGAATTTCCAGGAGCTAAATCGCCAAGGCTGAGTCAATCTGCAATCTCTGAAGGGTTCGGGCTTCGCTTTGGCTAGGGTAAGTAGTTCTGCGTGGGCGCCTTCAGACCTGGATACCTTGAAGGTGGCTTGGCTGCAGAAAAATGCTACAAAATTTGCCCATGCAAGTTCAGACAGAAGGCATTTCAAGGCTTCTGTGGCCATGCCTTCGTGCCCGGTTCTGTCTCCAACAAAAATGGGCTACCTGGCGGGCTGAGCCGCCTGTCTCTCGTGGTTCTGAACCGGGAGAATCCCTGACCCGTTCGTGCCCAGTGCTCGCGCAGGACTCACGCTAGCTCTCAACCATAGTAACTATCACTGAACGAAACAGCAATAAAGCCCGAGTCTGGCAAGTCCACTGGCAGCAATCCACCACCTCTAGAGAGCCTCCAGACACATTTTGGATTGTTCATATACCAATCTTTCATGCCTGGCATTGGAAAATTAAATGGCTGCAAAGGCCACCAGGTGAGTAGGACAATCCAGGGTGCCCCAAAGGCCGCTGGCAAAAAAAGAGCCATGCAATTGACGCAAACCTACAATTTATTTACAACTCTCTTCAACTGCGAGCTCAGCTGCAAACCAAAGCATAGTCTGCAGTCGCAGGGCACTTCGTCACAAACTAAGCCGGTGTTGTTGAAAGCAGGGTTCCAATCTAGCAGTTGTATTTGTGCAATTATGCCTATCACAGTTGCAACCTCTTCAGCTCAATATCCTTCACTTGAGGCCCAAAGAACCGAGAGGTAGGAATATCTACTTCCTGCGGAGTCTCACTAAAATGCTCCTCCGGCACCCTGAGCTGGGCAAGCCGGTTCTCCTGGATGCGACGAAGTTTTCCCATCTCCGATCGGGTCTTTGCACGCAGCTTTTGCAGCTCCTTCGCTGCTTGCGCACGCTCCGCTTGGGTCGGCGCTGTCTGCATCTCCTCCGCCAGACTTCGAGCCTCGCCGGGTCGGAAGGGTCCCAGCTTGCAACGCCGGATGTACGTGTCGAGGGAGGTCAGGTCCGAAGGAAGTAACTCGCGGATTCCTGGCCCAGATCGCCCGTTGACGATGAGCTGCAAAGCGAGGAACTTCCCATCCACAAGTGTGTGAGGGCCAGGGGTTCGTTTCGACGGCTCGGCGCTCAGCTTGAAAGGCGGATATGGCAAGAGCTGGATCGGGAAGTTAGTGAGCGGGCACATCAACTGCTGGTGGGACCTCGTCCACCAGCGGTTCTCGCTTCCATCACCCGTGTTGACCCAACTGCGTGTAAATCCTCGTGACCGACCTTGCTTTCCCATCTGAGGGATGCTCTTCGTGGGCAGTGGCGCCTCGAAAGCTGCGTTGGTGGTCCGTAGAGCTTCGACGGAGCCTTGGCTGACTTCTGAACCCCTCCAGAAAGTCAAACTGTTGGTCTCCTGAATTAAGTGTGTTTTTTCTAAACCCAAAAAGTTAAAGTCCTAAGAGCCAACCAGAAGAACACCAAGGAGCTGTCGAAGGTCACTAGGCCCGGGGGAGGGCCGGGGATGATCTCCCAGAGGCTTTCCCCGCTCAGGGCCATCTCGGCGTCTGACAGAGGTGCCCTGGACATTGCAAGAGATGCAGGACAAGGCCTCCCGGAGCTCGAGCCGTAGCCATTCAGGTGCCCGAATAGTTGGAATAAGACTTTGGGGCAGTATACCTGATATAACATAGGGGCCTTAATCATTAGAATAGGGTTTTGGGCCCATTATACTATGCTTACAATGAGGAACCCGCCAAAATAATCTGGGTAATTATTTAGGCCCCTATATTAATGTAGGGATGTGTGCTCGCACTCCCCAAGTACGAATTGAGCACTGTGACAGCTCCCTTGATGAATTCCTCGACTGTAGGGTTTAGAGGTTGCGGTTCAGGACTTAATTATGACTTCGGCGCTGCTGTCACTGCTCCTGTTGGTCTTCTATGAAAGGCTAGTCTGCAGGTCGCTGGGCCGAACTCCACAAGCCTGAACGCCCCAATGTGTCATGAAGCAGCTCAACCCAACGCCCTATGATCCTATCAGACCCCTGAGCCCCTCATCTTGAAACTGGGCTTAGGGTTTTGGGTTTCGGGTTTAAGGTGCCCTTCTGGTCATTCGGAAAAATTTGAAGCGCTCTGCCACCAGGAGTCCTGAAGTTCTCCAGCAGTTGTGAGGTGTCGCGAAGGACCTCGTTCGCAGCACACCCTTCACCATGAAAGTTGTGGAAAACGTGGGGCCCAAATCTGTCTCCCTCTCGGTGGCCTTAGGAGGGATTGTCGAATCCGCTTTCAGCATGTTCAACACCTCCCTCTACCCGCTATAAAACCCCAAGTGCCTACCCTGAACGGCCATGACTAGGGGGCCATATAGCCGTAGCAATACATCTCTTGCTGCGATTACCACGTTAGTTTTTCATGCCGCATAATCCCTAAACCCCAAAAGCCCTAAACCTTAAGGCTTTCGGAAGAAAGTAGCCCCCTACACACGACAAGCGGCTGACAAGTATTCATGCTCTGCATCAACCATGGCCACGTGCACCTGAGACGGGTCACTTACAGTGCCAAGGTGTTCGGGGGGCTTTCTTGAAACGGAGGTACCTTTTTGAGGTGCTTTTTAACATCCTGCTATTTGCGACTTACGTAATATAAGGAACTCACTCGACTCTTGCAGAACAACAAAAAACAGGTCAGGACAACCGGACTTCGCCGTTTGACTACAACCCGTGTCTTCGAGAAAAGCCAGAATTCCAGTGGCAGAAACGTGGAAGAACCCACCGAGTGGACTGCAGGCTGTAAACGCACAAAGCTCCCGGGGCTGCGACGCTATTCCGACCTCAGGCAGGAGCATCCCGAACGCAGCCTATACATTGCCGGTCGACCTCGGTAGGAATTGTACTAAAGCAAAGATGCATGGATCTAGATGTTTACTATTGTACTATAGAGGCCGGGGTATACACTCAAGCCTGGCCACGGCACTCAGACTGCAGCCAGTCACCGCTCGACTATGTGCAACTCGTCCTTTGTTGTATCTTCTTCTTGGCGGAATCTAAAGAAACCGTCAAGGCCAATGTCAGGACTGAAGAATGCTACTAAGGATGACCATCATGACTTTTGAAGATGTTGGCTTCGGAAGCTCAGAATCGAGCGTAATCGTCGGAGCCCATCCAAGCGGCTGTGCAGGTGAACATAGAGGATATTCTGGCCTCGCGAGGGCAACGCCAGGAGCCGTCGCAGAAATACGGTACTAAAGACGTCCTTTTCACTGGAATGGCAAGCAGTATAATAGAATAAACCAAAATGTACTATACTATACTGTACGATACGATTCTATACGATACTATACCATTCTGTACTATACTGTACTATATATTGCACCTATACTGTACTGTACTGTTCTATACTCTACTATACTATACTGCACTAATCCCTTCCCCCTAACTATAAACCTCCCCCTAACATAAAAACTGCCGGCCCCCGGAAATTCGCGGTTTCGGGCCCACAAGACTACAGTAGTACTAACAGCCGGAACGGCTGAGTAGGAATCGGTCGTTGTGTCTGAATGATTGGTCTCGGGCTTCAGGCTTTAGGACTTCACCACAGACTGTTTGCAGTAATCCCAGTCATACCCGTATGCGCCGGAAACCGAACTAGTTATAAACACCAAACCCACGGATTTGAGTTTTTATAGTAGTGGGGAGGGGGGTTAATATCAGGGGGAAGAGATTATACTACACTATACTACTCCATACTATACATTTTACTATACACTATACTACACACTATACTATACACCGTACTATACACTTCACGCTCTATACGATAAAGCATGTTTTTATATACGATAATTTTGCGTATTCCAGTATACCATAATCAAAAGCTCAGAGATACAACCCCGCGGCTCGGCCATGTGCTCGGAAGGTGCAGTCTCGGCACTGCCCAGGCAGAAGGCACGAAGCACGCTGGTGCGGCTTTCTGACAACATGCTACACTCTTAAGGCCACCGAGGAAACTCCAAAGCTGCAAGCCCTCGAGACGCAAGCCTAAAACAGCCTCAAAGGTCTTGGCCCCTTGCGGTCACGGTTGTAGTTGCTGTTGGCGCCAAGGAACACCTGGAGATCAGAGCTCAGAGGGCTAAGACACACTCCAACAAAGTCAGGAATCCCGAAGCCCCGAGCCCTAAACAGAAGCTCGATGCTAACTCCGCTTCTATCCGCATTCTGTAGTAGCACACGGCTGTACTGTCTCAGTCAGTCTCTTTCAGGCGTTGCAACTGTCCCCTGAAACCCCTAACAGCACTCTAGACTCTAAAACCCCGAACAAAAGACCCAAACCCCGCCAATCCGATCTACCGGCCTGTCCACCTCATCCCAGGGATCAGAAGCTCCCATAATGTACACTGTATACATGTACAAAGTTGCACTCAACCCCAAATTTAATCCAGCTCTCGGCGACTGTCGCCTCGGAGGCATCCACGGCGATGACCCGCTGGAAGATCTCGGAGAAGGCCTCGCGCGGCAGAGGGCTCCAAGAGGGGTTCCTACTGAGGTTCCGAAAAGGATCGTACGAGGGTTGTCAGTCATATATATATATATATATATACATGTACAGTAATCTATATAATACATATATACACATATACACAAATATACATTGACATGCATGTATGTATGCATGCATGCATGCATGTATGTGGGATCTTATACGGGTTCTGCACCGTTTCTATCTTGCTTACTTTGCAGTCGGTGTCGGTGTGCTCGGGGTTGGGCCATTTACAGTTTTCTTGTCGGGCGGGTGAGGCCGTGGCCTTAGGGCTCTCGTGTGTTTTCAAGGTGAACGCTGGCTCAATACTCTGTGTCCGGGCGGCTTCTTTGGGCTTAGGGTGTAGGGTTGACGTTCAGATCTGCATCCAGTCAGCCAGCGCTATTTGCTGTCGAAGTTCGCGACACAGCAGGTGGGTTTCGAACCCCTTGGACTTTGAACAAAACGAGCATTCGAAAACCCAAAGCGCCTGGACACCCAAAGCCGGCAATTCTATAAGAGCTTTCAGAGTCTCATCTTCATCAAGTCTGGGAATACTAAAACGATCAGGGGACCTAGCATGAAATAGGGGCAGCTATACTTGTAGCGAACAATGATTAAGGAGTGCAGTTGTACTTCGAAAACCTTGTGATCTGGAAGTAGGAGCTGATACCATTGGTAGCTAACCGTATACCTTGGAGATCCCGCAAGTAGACCGACCACAGGAAATGCCGGGTGAGCTTCCATTCCGAAACGAGTGTAAGCAGCAATTCACAAGTTACAGTATAACCCAAAAGCTACCCGCGACAGATATCCTGCGCCAGCTTAGGAGCTGAGTACCACAACTGAGCCAAAACGGTCCAACCTTTCAATTCTGGCAGGCTTACTTACACACACACACACATATATATATATATATGTACACACACATACAACTACATATATATATATATACATATATATATATATATACATACACACACGGCAACTGCCCTATACATATATGTACACACATACATACAGCCCTTAGGTCTTCTGCCTTCCAGGAGGGTGCTGAGGCCGTGACCCGAGTACTATAGCCTCGGTAGCTTCCCAACCTCAGAGGGTTTGGAGGTTGTAGCGTGCTTGGTTTAAGGGCTTAGGGTTTAGGGTTTGAGGTTGTAGGGTTTAGGTATTTTTGGTATTGGGGCTTAGGGTTGTAGGCTTGAGGGTATCTGATGTAAGATGTACTTCCCAATTTAGGTATAGGGCATAAGATTTAGGGTTTACGGTGTACTTCCCAGCCTCAAGGGTTCATGCTTCGATTCTACATTCCCGTGCTCTTAGGTTCTTTCTGGCCTTTTGAAGATGCTTTCCATCTGCCTGGAGGTAAGGCTACTGTAGGGGCCTTAATAATTAGAACAGGGTCTTGGGGGCTCCATATTATAATGATAGTATAATGTACCCCTAAACCCTATTCTAATTCTTAAAGCCCCTATGCAACAGAATTCCAACCAGGGAGTTTCGGGCTAAGGGCGCAGCAAAGACGATGCCTTTCACACAGATTACTGCTGTTGGGGCCGTCGAGACCTCTAGAAGAGTCTATACTTTAAGTACTACTGTTACAGTTCAGACTTTGGGGTTTAGGGTTTAGGGTTCAGGGTTTAGGGTGAACAGTACTAGTATCGAATTGTCTTGCCAGGATTCCATTCTCCCGAAGTCGCTAACATAGACCCCACGTAGTAGGATCCCGGAAGCAAAAGCACATGCAACCAAGGGCCGTGTCACAAACTTCAGGCAACCCTTCCAAAACAAAAGCCCGGTCAACGCAAATCATTAGACCGAAATGAAACCATACAGAACGCAATCAACGACACGTATTCCCACAAGCCTCAAGCCTCTGAAACACTCTGGAGCCGCCGACATATGGGTAGTTCTCCAAAGTAGGGTCGCTTTCTAGGTCCCCCATGTAGTACGGCACCCTTGCAAGAAGGACCCTCAAAGGGACCCTAATTTATAGAACTACCCATATGGGAGGATCCCCTGATCCCATGGGAGCCCTCACTCCAGCAAAGTCCAGTCGGCAGCACCTGCTGCAGTGAAGAAGCTCCTCAGGTCCTGCAGGAAGAACCCGAGTCAAAGACTTGGGTGGTTCTTTAAATTAGGGGTTTAGGGTTTAGGGTCCCCTTTAGGGTCCCTTTTTATAAGGGTGCCGTACTATATTGGGGACCCAAAAGCGACCCTAATTTAGAGAACTACCCACTTGACTAAGGAATGAACCTTGAGGACCTGGAACTATATTAGAACAACCTTCTACTAGTAGCATTTTAAGGAGGTCTTGCGATAGTTTCTAGTCGTTCGAATCTTCAGGCTGTTGCGACCTGACTAGCTGCGCGTCCTTGCCCGACTTTGTATGTTTGGACACCTGCTCTCGGACAAGCTTGAGCTGGAGCGTCATACCTACCTTGATCTTTCTTGTTGTTAAAGTCTTAACTGACAAACTCAAGGGCGGATGCCTGTACTGTGTCCTATGCCCAAAAAAGCAAAACCCAACAGGACCTTTGTTGTATTGAAGCCCGTCAAGACGACACAGAACAATCGATCTGACTGGTCTGAACGACGTTTTTCATCCGCACCGCTCGATCTTCTTGCGAATTCGCTCTTCGCCCACGTCCGCAATGGTATCTCCATTCCGCCTGACCACGAACGCACAGAATTCGGACGCACGGCCCTCGGAACTTGTCACTTAGTTTGTTCCCTGAGAAACGCGGCATACCGAGTTCTCAAAGGTCTGAAAAGTTTTAGTCGAAACCTTGACATCTTCCATTCCTGTGATTCCACGAAGTGTTCTAAAACTCGACGAGAATCTTTCTCTAACTTCTACTTTTGGGGGTCCCGACAAGTACAACCTCTTCGACTCGCACACTCGCTCAAGGCAGGCAAGGCTTCCAGACAAGTCCGAAACTAGAGCATCTCACTACACAGCTTGCGTGCAAGTCCCAACAAACAGCAACAAATCCACGTGTACAACAAGTAAGCACAACCGTTTGATTATAAGGACCCCTTTTCAGCATGGGTTTGGATAGTGTGCCAGCGAACACTCCTCAACAGCAGACCCCTCTTTTACACTAAACCCTCCAGACCCCAAGCCCTATAAACCCTACGCCCTAAACCCAAGGGGCCCTAGACCCTCCTCTTTTACCCTAAACCCTCCAGACCCCAAGCCGTATAAACCCGAAGCCCTAAACCACAAGGGGTCCTAAACCCTAAATCCTAAACCCCTAATCTAGATAACTCCCCAAGCGACCTGTGGATCTCGGCGTCATTCGCCTCTTCCAGATCTCGTGTTCGAAGCCTTGGTTTCGGGTTTGGGGTGTAAGAGTTGTTTTTTCAATCTCGCATGGCCGGGATGAATATGGGTTTAGGGTGTATGGACTTAGGATTTAGTTTCGGGCTTGGGGCTTATGGATTGGATTTTCCCTCTCGCATGGCCAGGATCAATAGGGGTCTAAGGCTTTGGGGGTTTAGGCTTGGGATTGTGGAGACTTCCGCTATCGGGTTCTAGACAGTGTCATAGGGGCTAAGACGATTTTCATAATCCTTGCGGGAATCTTTTTGCACTCTCGTGCTTCGAGAGACCCACGTTAAAGACTTGCTCACCTAGAGGTCTCTTGGAGTAGCAGGGCTTCCGGACTCGATCTGAGTATGAAAGCTGCAGGCGGACCAATGCGTACTGGAGGCTAGTACGGAATTCATAATCAGATGATGCCATGCCATGACACCTGGACACATCATACTAGAAGGTGCCTTACTGAATGACTAGGATAAGGTTTCGGAATCGACTAGGATGCAAACACAGTGAGGACTACTAGGGGGTGGTAAGATCATTCAGTCATGATTTCTACCTCATGGTATATCTCCGAGCTCAAAAATTAAGTCGAAGGGATGGGGCTGCTGCCCGAGACGCTACTATAGGGCCTTAATAGTCAGAATAGGGTTTGGAGCCCAGAATACCATAATCATAAGGAACCTAAGAAATAATATTGGTAATTATTTAAGCTTCTATAGTGCTGACGTCCATCCGTTGTTTTTGAACCCAGGCTCTTTGCTAGCTGACGTCCATCCTAAACCCTAAACCCTCAACTCGGGACCGGGGCTTTTCAATATCCTGCCCGGAAGCCGAACGCCCTAAACCCTAAACCCCTAAACCCTAAACCCTAAACCCTAAACCAACATAAGCCCTAAAGAGACCGCAGAGCCGCTGCTACCCCCAAGGCTTCAACTATGGTGGCACCCCTATTGTAGCAGCCCTAACTGTTAACCCTACCATACAGTAACTCTGTTTATTCTAGCAATCCATCTCATGCAGTAACGCTTCTGCCTAAACCCTAAACCCTAAACCTTAAACCCTAAACCGCTGCTAATTATAGTAACCCAATCTAGTGAGATTCATCCCTGAAGTTCTCGACAACCAAGGCGCAGGTGCAGCGCTGGCCGCGGCGCTGAGGAAACCACCTGCTCGGTGTGGTCCGGTGGTGTAGGCAGCTCGATGAACGACTCCTGCAAGGATTGTAGATCAGGGTCTTAACCCTAAATCCTAGAGCCCATGCCCCTAAAGTTTAAAACTTATCGGATTTTATGAATGCTTTTAACTGCTTTTATGCATCAAGGCTTGTGCAATCGCCTGAACACTGACTTCCGGCATGCACACAATAGTAGAACTGTGCAGCCTGAGACCCAATAACCCAACAATCCGAGACCCTTATGGCCGTCTTTGTGCCTAGGATCTTGACAAAGCCTTCGATCACCCACAAAAACGTGATAGAGGAGCTGGCGCTTGGAGGGCGAACCTGCTTTCTGTTGGCTTCGCGGCCGTCGAGGCCACAGCTTATATAAGGGGTTTCGACTCACACACTCGCACAAGGCATAAGGGGTTTAGGGTCCAGTTATAAGGGCGCTAGAATCGGGTTACAATGCGCCGTGCAAGCGGGGTCTCTCGTTGGTGCTTTGGTAGTACGAACAGCATTGCCATGTCGACCATCGACATAACCACGACTTTTGATTGAAATAACACCCGGGAGCAAAACAGATTACGAACCGGCATTTTGGACCGGTAAGTTGCCGCAATACCGCTTGATGCCTCTATTGACTTGTGGACAATGTTGCAAAGCCCGAGGATAATGAACCAACGGATGGTACCATGAAGCCAGCGTGGTGTTCTAATCTCGGTGGTGGAGAGTAGTCTGAGCTCTGGGAGCCTTTCCGTGGTGAAGCCATGCGGAATGAAAACCTCCAAGCATCCATCGGATCACCCTGCCTCGCCTCGCCACTTCCCAGTTTTACCTGCATCAGGACATCGCACTGTTCTTTCGCAGCTTACAGGTCGCGGCAGGGTCCGCAGCAACTGGTCAGACGGTCAAGTGCACTGCAGATGGGGAAGGTTAAGTAGCAACTCGAGCAGCACTAGGAGCAACAGCCGCAGCGATAGCAACGGCACCCAAGGGCGGTCACCACAACTAATTAAAATGCATGCAATGACGGAGTACATGCAACCCAGAAACTCTTACACGTACATGCATCATATACATGCGTGCATGCATAAACACACACACACACATACATACATACATACATACATACATACATACATACCTACATGCCTACATGCCTACAT